ATTGTATTCATTCATTTTCTCAGCCCAGCATGAAGCTGGTAGATTGCTGGGATCATAGCAACAGGGAAGAGAAAGAAAGGTTCATCTTTATCTGTCCATCTCCAAACAGATATAGGGCTAGCAAAAGAATGCAGGGAAGTGTCCTCACTATGTCCATTTGAAAAAGATTTAAGAAGTATTTCATGAAGACCATGTACCACTTTAACAAGGTGCCCTTCATATGAAGGTGGAAGCCAGTGAAACCATTGTTCTTTGTGTAATTTTTCCACAGAATGTTTCAAACTGTTTCAAAACCCCACTTTTAAAATAAACACCAATATTTTGGAGACACAAGGTGCTAGTGAAACTATTTAAAGCATGGAAAGCAGGCGTAAAAAATGGAAGGCTCTACTACCACTCATTAATTACAAGAAATCAGACAGAGATTTGAGCTCTCAAAGCAAGCTGCTGGATAAAATGCTCTCAAAATACAAGCTATGCCGTTTCAAATCAGTTACACAGAAGTGAGAATGTATGTGTGTATCTCAAGTGCTTTAGCTCTTATGCTTCCCTTGACATACAAGAATTATACGGAATACCAACACAAAAAAAAATGCCTTGATTTTGCCCCTGTTCATCCCCAACTTCTTAGTTGTTCTTAACACACGTAACTGTCTTCATCTGACTTCAACTGCTTCTGCATGGTTTCTCTAATCTCTGAACATAGGCAGAACTATTCCTAGTTGGAAAACAAACAAGCCAAACAAAAAAAAAAAAATTAAAAATAAAATAAACCAGCCACATGATCTCAACATATCAACCAACATGCCATGGTGAAATCTCCAAACACATGTAAAGGGATAGTAGGCTACTCAGAGATTCACTCAGCCATCCAGAGTGCTCCTGAGCAGTGCCAGGAAGGCATAACCAGCCACAGCTGGGCTTCTAAAAATTATATCTATGCATTTAGCTGGTTCAGGGAGGCACTTAAGTACACATCCATTCACCCACACAACTGCAACAGAACTTAAGTGCATCAGCATGCTCTGCAGGGAAGTCAAATGCAGTCCTGAAAAAGTGCCTAAACACTCAGCTACAAAATCCACCTGAGTTTAAACATCCATTGTCAAATTCTGGTCTATGCATAGAATTTTCAGAAGCATGCATTCAGCTTTCTGTTCACTGCTCCCAAATACCTATCACAAAAAAAAAAAAAAAAAAATTAAAAAAAAAACAAACAAAAAACCAAAACAACCACAAAACACTATACCTCTAGCAATAATGATCAAATTGTGATAAACAGCTTAATTATAGAAACTCACCAGTTAAAGTTGAAATGATTTTTCAGTATCTAAATTCTCTAATAACCACCTAATTTCTTTATTTTATTACCCACATAAATACACAGGGAGAAAATATATCAGCATCCTATGTCTTTATAGTTCTCTTGTAGATGTAACTTTATACACAATTTTCCTGTATAAGATACAGACAAATACAATAATACTTCTAATAAAAGAATATTTGCTTTCATGAGACTACAAGATTTGTCCTCTATTTATGACCACAAACTAGACTTGAAATGCAAGTATTTGTAACCACCTTGAAACTTCTAACAATTTTTGAAGCTGCATAACCTGCCACTGAAAACAACTTACAGAGAAATACCTAAATATAAACCACAATAGCGAAGCAACAACCCTGCAAGCAGAAAAATGTAGCAACAATTACAAGTAGTTCAGCTTGAACTCTGACAAGATTAAGAGCAATAGCAAGCACTAAGCAAGTAGACCGCTTCAAAATTTGGCTCAGGTACATGACATTTTGGATAAATTCTAACTTCAAGGACACTAGTAATCAGGACTAAGTGAATATGCTCTACTACAAAACTAACCTCACAAACTATTTTAAGTGCTGGATTCAGAATAACACTATTTGACAATAACATTTTGCTGCCCCATACAAGAACACATATGCAAACAGTGCTGAAAGACTAAAGCACTTTAAGACGATAATTACAATTTATGTACACTTAATTCTAAGCCTACATAAATAACAAAAAATATATTAGAACACATTTTCAAGCTTACTTGAGATTTATTTCCAATTAAAAAAAATCATTATTAACACCCCTTATTTCATTATAGTTTAGGATCCTAATACTTAACATATTCTCACCTGGAACTGGACCACAGTATTTATGGTACTTCATGTATATTGATAATTAAATACATAAGAAAAATAAAGTACAGGAATACTTACAATATTTCTAACAGCAGACTTAAGCTCTGTAAGAATATGCAACTTTGATATTTCTACATACTAATGATCACAGAACATTTTTAATTGCTCTAGCAGAACTCTGGCAACTAACCAAGAAATGTAATATGAACTTTGCTAATAGGGTCTTAGGAATTTTCTTTTATTTACCAAATATTGTTTGCACCAGGAACACTTATGAACTGGGCTACTCATCAATTTACTAATGTGCCTTTTAAAAAGGATGAGATCTTAATGAATTTCAATAAGTTGCTAGAGTTCCATATTAAAAACCTAAACATTATTGCACCTGAGGAAAGTACAATCATTATGAAATTCTTCAAAGTTTTGATGGAACCTTATGGTGCCTTTAATCATTGTCAAAATGATGAACATTTCATTTTTAAAGTGAATTAATTTATTTCTACAGCAGTTTATTAATTCCGAGTAAATACAATAAAGAAGCAAGCTAAAGCACAATGTTGGCATTTGTGTTTAACAAATGACAGCATGTTTTGTCTTCTAATTTCAAATGGTTATCACCAAGTAAGCATCCCTACTTACTTCTACGTATATAAAAACCAGACTTCTCATCTCCCGAGTCTGTCTCTGCAGCTAAATCACTGCAAAGTTATTCCTGCAACATTGTTAACTGCTCTGACAATTTTGATAACCAAACTGGATTTTGCCTTCAGCTTAGATTCTAACAAAACAAATTCAAACAAGGGGATTTTATTTTCTTTGGGTCTCTTACACCTACAATTCAGGTGTTTGGCTATTTTTCTGTAGTGATCATGGAAAGCACACAAAAACTGGCACACTGAGTAAAACAAAGGAGAAATACATCTGCACCCTGCTCCTTCTCATATTTTTCACTCACAGATAAACCTACCATGTCCAAATACATACTTGCACTGTGAGAGCGCAGTGAATATTTAAAGACAAGTTTGTTTTTAAGAGAGGGTTTAGAAACATAATTCACTCTTTCTCTAGTGTCTGAAAGAGCAATAAAACTACCTTTTCTTTGTAGTCTGCTGGTGTTTAATATTGGACTAAGAAGAAATTTCATGAATGGTAATAAGATTAAATTTACGAGAATCCTTACAAAACCATTCAATGCATAATACCTACCAACTAGGTAAGCGCTCCTTGTACCTTCAACTACCTTTATCTATGTGCAGTTATTGTGTAAGCACATCACACAAAAGACAGAAGTGAAAAATATTGAATGCAAAGCTATTTTTTAAGTATTTTAGCTGTTACACCAGCAACATGTGCATTTAGTGAGAACTATTTCAACAATCCTCATTCTGCCCAGTGGAATTTGTGAATTTTACTTACCCACCCACCCAGTCATCAGTTAATTTCATTTTGCTTAACAAGAGCAGAATAAACTCTGGTTTTGGGAGACAAGCAATTTTTTGAGAAGTGTGTCCTTTGATGTGAGATGTAACTTTTCACCTTATTTACTCTGAATATTTTTTTTTTTTTTAAGTAACGTGTAAAACAAGGAAAATGTAGAGAGAGGGGTTTGGAAATATGAATGCTCATCATTCCCAAGCACGATTGTTACTTTGGACAAATCTTTGTCTCAAGCTTTTTTTTGTCACCTACTTATCATTGGGGCGTTGTTACCAGGATCACAACATTAAAGTGCTGGGCAGAGTAGCTAAGTCTGGGCACTTGAAAATTCTGCCCGTTAACTTCGGCATCACCTGTTTTGAAGCTACTCTGGAATACCGAATAGAGGAGTTTTCTGCAAGCAACACAGATCTATTAAAAAACATGACCTGTGACAAAAATCAATGTACTAATCTCAAACCCAACAGCAGTATCAGAAGTGTAAGAAAGAGATAACCTAAGATAAAATGTCCCCAAATGTACTTAAGACTAGCTAGACGGGGGGGTTGTGGATTTGGCGTTTTTTCTCTCCGGGGGGGGGGGGGGGGCGTATATTTAAAAAAGGGTGAGTTTGCTCACAAGCACTTTAACAAGGGAAAAAGAAAATGTAATACCCAGGTGGTTCTTTACGCAAACACATGGATACCATTTGGAGCAGGTCTGATGCTAAACATGAGGGAAAACTCCAGAAAAAAAAAATTAATGAAGCCTCCGTTTTCAGCAGAAGATTGGCTGAACTGCATGCTAAGCCTGCTGTCGAAAACCCTCCAGCGCGCCCGTGCGCGGGGAGGCTCTGCAGCACCGCTCACCCCGCCGGGGACACCGGCGAGCCCCGGCCCCTGGCTCCGTACCTACCTACCTGCTCACGGGTACCTCTAGCCTGCCCGGGAGAGCCCCCCTCCGGGCGGGCAGGGCAGGGCAGGGCAGGGCAAGGCAGGGCTGGGCCAGGGGAAAGACACCCCTCCACCGCAGCTGACAGTGATCCCGGCCGCGGCTGCCGCGAAGCCGGGGCCGGTCGCCCCGCTCCGTCCCGTCCCGCCGGGAAAAGAGACCCCTGCCTCGGGAACGCGCGTTGCCTGAGGCAGCAGCCCCCCGGGGGACGGCGGCTGCCCGCGTCCCCTCATCCCACCCCAACTCCTAGAGGCGCCTGTGTTCCCCCTGCCCACGGCGCACCGGAGGAGCATCCGCCCGGCCCGGTGCCTGCCGAGCCCGGGGAAAGTGGCGGGAGCACAGAGAAAAAAATGCCACCGCCTCCGTCCTGCTTCCCCCGTCGCTGCCTGTATCTTCTGAAAAAGAAAGTTTCCCTCCCCTCATCTTCCAGCCGGGGCAGTTTCTGCTCGATTCGCGCCCGCCCCGCGTACCTGGGGTTGGTGCTGTTCCAGTACACGGCGTAGCGGTCGGCCACCGCCTTGGCGCCGGGCTCCTGCCCGCGCACGCACACCCACAGCGCCGCGGCCGCCAGCAGCAGCATCTCCACGTGCGGCATCGCGGCGAGGCGGGATGAGGAGAGATGGAGAAAGAGGGGGTGATAAAAATAAACAAAAATAAAAGCAAGCGGGACCGAGCCGGGAAGCTGGAGGCTGCGGGGTGAATAAATAAAAAGCGGTGAGCAAGAGGCGGGCCGGCTCCTCACCGAGCGCCTGCCTCCGCAGACGGGCAGCCGTCAGGGAGGCGCGATTCGCGGTCCCTCAGGGAGCCTCACCCCTGCGGAGGATGGTGGGGGCCAAGGCAGGCGGCGGCGGCGGCAAGAGGCGGGCGGTGCTCATTCACCGGGAGTCCCGCACGGAACCCGCGCCACGACATACACCGGCCCGCCGGCGAGGCGGGCGAAGAGGCACCGCTCCTCAGCCCCCTGCGAGCGGCCCCGCGGCTCGGGGGACGCCTGGGGGAGAGCGAGCGAGAGAGCGGAGAGGAGAGAAGGGAAAGGGAAGAAGATCTTTACCCCGCAAGCCCACAGGGGTCCTGGCAGTGTATTAAAGGCTGTCAGAGGGGCGAGAAGTACCAGCGGATCTTAAGTACAAAGTTTATGTTTTCCTTCCTGCCCCTCAGCAAATTAAAAACAAACAATAAAACTAAAAAAAAAAAAAAAAAAAAAAAGAGGGAAAAAGAAGGAAAAATAAGGGGGGGAGGGAGAGGGTGAGAGAAGCAAAAGCCCTGAGGAGTTTGCTGCGCTGATGGAGTTGGGGAGCCTGTTCTGCAGCACAGAGAGTGTCTTGAAGACTTTGTGGAGTGGTTTCTTGTCCTTCCTGTTCCTGGGCGGTGGATGCACCAAGGGCTGAGCAACAGCGAAGGCGGAAGGAAAAAAAAAATGGAAGGGGAAAAAAAAAAAAGAAAAAGGAGTGGGGTAGTTAAAAAAAAAAAAAAAAAACGAACGGCAAATCCAAGAAATATTGCGGCGTGGAAGCCAAGGAGATGGAAATTAAAAAAACTGTTCTATGAGAGGGCGTAGAAAAGCAGAACCTTGGACTAGAAAATCAAGCCTGCAAACTCCTCTAATGGTGCTGGTCTTGGCTCGCCTCTTCTGCTAGGGGTGCGAACGGAGGGACACGGCGGCGTGCGGAAATCTGCTCCTTCAGTCTCCCGGAACCTCTCCGTGATAAAGCAGGGTCCAGTCCCAGGAACATCAACTTCTGCGGAAGGACAAAACAGTTTGAAAGAGCAGGAAGGGGGGAAGAGAAAGAATCCACTCCTCAGATGACTACATAAGGAGACAGCGGGGGGGGGGGGGGGAAGAAACCCAGTTCTTCGTCTCGGTCTTGCCCAACAGCTGCTCCCCTTTTCCCTCTGAAGCAGCAAGAGCAGCGAGATAATATATACCACGCCAGCAGGCAAATAAATAAACTTGAATGCGGCGGCAGGCAGGGAGGGATCGTAAAGCGCGACGAGGATTGGAGGGACAAAAGTCAGTTTTTGGGAAAAAAAAAAAAAAAAGAAAAAAAATTGCTTTATGGGAAGGGGAAAAAAAAACCTTTTTAAACAGTCACGCCCCCTTTTGCAATGACCGGTCCCTTCACTGCGTGTAAATCCGACATCAGCAACCTGGAAAAGCTCGGAGACTGGCGCGTTGCGCTGCAGAGGTACACGCGTGTGCGCAGCTGAGGCAGCCGCAGCGGGCGGAACGCGGTGCGCGGAGGTACGCACGCATACATACGTGCACGCGCGTGTATCCGAGGCAGGAGCTGGCGCCGGTGTGCTGGAGGGAAGGAGGCGAGGAGGAGGTGGAGGTGCAGGCTGCCAGCTCGGAGCACGGGCGCTGCTGCTGGATCATGTGGCGTTTTTGCATGCAGTTTACTTGTGGAAGGGGGGGTCAGCCCGCACAGCCACTCAGCGTACAGCCTGCTGTTTGCTTACAGCTTGGGTTGGTTTTTTTTTTTTTTCTTTTTTTTTCTTTTTTTTTTTTTTTTAATACGTCGACGCCATTGGCTCGAAACACGAGAAAGGAGGCGTTGTCCCAGGCTTCTCCTCCCCCTCCATGCCAAAAAAACCACCCAACTCCACCTTCTAGAAACCTGACTAATTGAATTACTGAGGCGTCAGGGTCGTTCCTGTGCAGCCCTTGCCACTGAAGGTAACCGTTTCAGCGCCGGACGCCGCAATGGGGTTTTAAGCGGGCTGTGTGCGGATGAGTTTCTGTCTGCCATGCAGAACACTGCGGCGAGAAACGCAATCGTAAAACAAAACTCCTTCCCCACTGACCCCCCAGGGCGGTACCAGCGGTCGGTCACCCCTCTTGCGGGAGCCGCGGATACCGCACCAGAGCAGGAGCGGGAGGCGGCGCCGGCCGCGGGCAACAGCAAAGCGCAGTGCGAGCAGGTGAGCGGCTCCCGCCGGAAAAGGCTCCGCCCCGCCGCGTTGCCGGGGTGACGGCAGCCGGGGCCCGGGGGCTGCACCGCACGCTCCTCCCGCCTCGCCGCCATCGGAAGCGCCCCTACTCCCCCTAGCGGTCGAGGCTGGCGGCACACGAGGCTCTTCCGCGCTCCCGTGCGCTCCTCCGCCCTCCCGTGCTCTCCTCTGCCCTCCTCCGCGCTCCACTCCGCTCCTCTGCGTCCCACGGCGTCCCTCTCCTCTCCTCTCCTCTCCTCTCCTCTCCTCTCCTCTCCTCTCCTCTCCTCTCCTCTCCTCTCCTCTCCTCTCCTCTCCTCTCCTCTCCTCTCCTCTCCTCTCCTCTCCTCTCCTCTCCTCTCCTCTCCTCTCCTCTCCTCTCCTCTCCTCTCCTCTCCTCTCCTCTCCTCAATCCCTTGGTTTATTTTTTTTTAATACATATATGTATTATCGAAGGACCTGTACAATTTGCAAGTCTTAATTATTAAAGGCCTAAAAACTTGTCTAAATTTCGTCTCCCTGTGGTCTCCTTTAGTCTTGTTTTTAACATGTTGATGTCTGTGGGTTAGCCTCACCAGGACTCAGAGTACATCAGCTGAATGCTTCAGGTATTACAGGCACCATAAAACCAAACTTTTTTTTCGTTCCTTTTCATTTAAAAAAAACAAACAAACCAGTGTTTCCTTTTTTTTTTTTTTTTGTTCCTTCAGACACATTTGTAAAAAAAGCTTAATAATTCTTTTCTTTTTTTCTTTTTTCCCTTTGTTCATGTCTTGTGAGAATTATCACAGGGAAAGAATGAGGGGTTGGTTTGTACAACTTAAAGCACCTTTTAATAGTGAATTCAGAGCTTAATCTAGTATATAAAATACACTTGTAGAGATGTAGTACTTGTGATTTGTTTTTTGGTTTTGGTTCTTTGTGTGGGTTTTTTTTTGTTGGTTTTGGTTGGTCTTTTTTTGGGGGGGGAGGAGTTGTTTGTGGTGGGTTTGGTTTTGTTTTCTTTAACACAAAGCTGTGTAAAAGGACTCAAACATTAATAACTGAAAAAAAAAACACTCCAAAAAGAACTAACTATAGCAGGAAGATATCTTTTTCTTCCCCTGCTTTACATAGCAAGCAAGATGTAGGTGGCTCTATCTTATTAGTTTATAAACAATACAAAGGCATAAATCCTTTGACTTAAAATAAGAAATAAATTAATTCTGCAAGTAAAAAAGCAGTACATTAATGAACAGAGGGTAAGCTTTTTGTTACATCAGAATGAATTTGTATGAATCCATCAAATACCCAATACCCAGAAGCATGTCAGCTTCTATTCCACTTTCCATTTCCATGATTACATGATTAAACAATTATTGATGTCATAGTTGTAAACTGCTTCTGTATACGTATGGCCTCCGGCATTAGCCTTCATTTGGCAGAAGGGTAAAGACCATTAACAAGTGATTCAACATCAGTTAGACCATTTTGACTAAGTCTTCAGAAAAAAACTGTGTGTAGGCACAGGAAGTGTCTGAAACTGCCTCTGATAAACCTCTGTGGCTGCTGTATCTCGGGCTTCACTGTAAAGGAGTCTTTAACGTAGAGTGTACAGCACCTACTTTCTTGGTAGTTGAAAGGAATTTCAGTGTATCGATTGATTGTGTACCTCAAAATAATTAAACTGAGCTCAGCTTAAGACTTTTGTCTCAGGGATAAGTGATAAATCTGAACCTTTTCTTTCTCTGCTTATTTCCCTTAAAAATACGCATTGTGTTTCTACCACTGTTCAGCAATACTTAGTATCTTGTGCAGATACAAATGACTTCTGGCATTACAATGTAGGTAGTATTGTTACAATAATTTAAGTGATTTCCTTTGCCATTCAAAGCTACTTCAGCACCCATGAAGCGCAGAAAATAACAATGATACATCCACATTTTTTGCTACGGTTTTTGTGTATTATTTTTCTCTTTTATAAATTTGAGTAGTGCTTCAGAAGTAAAACTAACTAGAAGGGCCCAATCCAGCTTATTTTTTTCCTTTTCCACCTGTTGTTAGAACATGGAGAATTAAGGAAAGACTTTTCTGGGAAAATGAATGTGATTTGCAAATCAGTAAAGAATATAGCTGCATTTCAAAACTTTTTTTTTGTCTAAGTCTTGTGAAAATGTATATCTTTAAATCATGTGTGTTAACATTTCACAGGAATTTGATTAAAGGTGTTTGGGCAGAAAAACATATAATCCTCTAGTTGGTATGTGTTTAAATCATCTTTGGTATTTTGTTTAAAAGGACTGCACAAAAATACAGCTCTTTTGTTTATCAGTGATATTGCTAGAAATGTGTTTTTCAGGAACTTGAAAGCATCGCACTTTCTTATATTTTTAATCACTCTCTGATCCCATAAATATGTTGCTGAAAGATGACTTAGAAGCAATCTCAGCTTCAAGTTCTGCAAATTAATAACTGAACAGAATGGTTAATCATTATAAATGCTCTCATCTTTTACTGTAATTGCTGATACTGTAAGCTGTCAAAGAGTAATACAGAGCAAAACCTCAGAGTAATTTCCATATGAGAGGAGTAGATACCAAAGCTATAAATAATACTGTTAGAGAGAATCACTGAATTCTTTACAGAGAAGTGTATACACTGTTTGACTGCAAAGATTCTCAAGTAAGAGAAGAGCTTTCTTTCTAAATGGTATCTCTAACCTAATGGTATTTTTTCCCTCTTGGATACGTTTACCTGTGAGTGTATGTACTCCATACTTGCCTTTCTGTTTTGGTTTTGGGTTGTTTTGTTTTTTTTTTTTTTGTTTTTTTTTTTGTTTGTTTTTTTTTGGGGGGGGTCTTTTTTTTTTTTTTAATATAGAAGGAAGAAATAATCTTATGGAAGAGAACAGAATGAAATTGCTGCAGGTGAACCTGACCCAGTATTTACTTGTGTGTGTATTTTTGGCTGGCTAGAACAGAGCAATTAAATGAAGATTCTTAATGTTCTTTTTATTAAACTGTCTGGCAACTCCCTTGCTTCTCTAACCCTCATTTTCAAGTCTAGCAACCAGAAATAACATATATGCTTATATGTGGTGTGCTGAGTCTCAATAACTTCAAGATTTTAGATGTCCAAAGGAGTAACTTTGAGATCCTTGTATTTAAAAAAAAAAGAAAAAAAAAAAAAAGAAAAAAAAAAGAGAATGCCATAATGGAAAATACAGTAATGAATTCTAGGCAACTTAGAGTGAGAGGGAGGTTATCGTCCAGTGACTTTTTCAGGCTTGTTGTTTTGCCCAGAAATCATACGTACTTCTTTGTCTATACATTTCTTAAGAATTTGCTTGCTTTTTTGCTTGGTGTTTTTTTTGTTTTGTTTTGTTTTTGTTTGTTTTTGTTTTTAATGAAAATTATCTACAGGTATCAGCTTTGCTTTCATATAAATTTGTCAGATCAATATCTCTGTGTCTGCTAAGCAGTCAGAAGAGCTTCAGCTCACAAATTAAGCAACTCTTCAGTACATAGCTATGGATATTAGTCTGAAAAATTCAGAAGTTTAATATGTTGAGGAAAACTTTGAAAAGAAACCAAAAAAAATTCCTGGTTTGTTTTGTTTTTCTGGGTGTTCCTCCTTGCCTCCCCCCCCCCCCCCCCCCCAAGTTTGCAATAGGAAGAATTACAAGGTAGAAGATTTGAAAAAAACATAAATGGAAGTAGGGTGCTTATCTACCCCTTGAGACAATAGAAAAATCTACTTTAAAGTTCAGTGTAACGGTTCTGTATATATATGTAATATATATGTATATATATGTAATAACTTAGACATAGTGTGCTGCCATTCAAGTTCATGGGGTTTTGTCTTTACAAATACTTTCACTCACGTTTGATAAATATCTAATTATGAGGAATTAATTTGCTTAAAACACTTTAAGGAGTTTTAAATTTTTGCCTTTGTGAAGTTAAGATATTTTTAATGCTATCATTTTGAAAGGCCAAATTAAAGTGTTTGTTTCTACCCTGTCAAGATCGTATGTACAGTTTCTGGCTTTACCCACTGCACTGATTTTTTATTAACATTGAGTCAATAAGAATAACTGAAATAGCCCAGCATTAAAGTCAAAGCAAGAGAATCCATGGCCCTAGGATAAATGTATAGCTTTCTTTCCTGTCATCCAGTTCAGTTCTTCCGTACTCTCCAAATTAAAGACATTAAATTAAAGATCTCTTTGAAAGACTTTTGAAAACTATTGCTCAATCTTAACTATTACAGAGCCAGTGTCTTACGAGACCTCCGGTTTTGAGTATTATCACTGTAGAATCAAGCACCTAAACCTCATAGGTGCAAGAAAGATTGAGCACTATACTATAAAGCTAAAGCATAAGACAAAAAAAAAAAAAAAAAAAGAATCGGGTATAGTGGACAGTATAACTAGACTTACTCCAAAGATTGCTGTTAATTCTTGCAAAAAGCTCTGTATTGCAGATAGCTATACATCTTATAGATGTATAGATGTATAATGCATAATTATATGCAGATTATGTTACATGAGAGAGCTCTTATTTCAGCATCTGTGCATCTCCTATGATGACATGGCAGGATCGGAACCAGTTAAGTTAAATAATAATCCTGTTTGACCTTGTGATGTTTTAAAAGGATACTTTGTGTTGCTTGCAGTTCAAATGCCCATACAGAGACCTCATTTTTTCTGAGTCTTCTTGATGAAAGTTAGGTTTTCAGGTTGTTTCTCTGCAATGAGTAACTACAGCTGGTGATCTAGAATATCAGTGTTTACTTAGAAACCCTGTTCTTTGAAATAGACAGAAAGAGGTTAAAAAAACCGGAGTCAGACAAACAAAACCTCCAAAACTGAATACTGAATTCAAAATAATATATTGCCAGAAACAGGTGTTTGCAGGTATATGTAGTTCTTATTTTTGTAGTAATACATTGATTAGTGGGCAAATAATCTCATTTATGGGCATGCTGTCTTTTATTTGTTGTTTGCTTATATCTTGTTGTGTGGGATGGGCAGCTAGCAGGGATTTTTTTCTGTCCATATCCAGATAAGTGAAGAAAAACAAGTTAGAAAATCAAGGAAGGGGTAGGCTATTGTTGTCATCTGGAAACATGATGGAAATCCTGTACTTGATTGTCTTCAAGCCTTATGTAGTAAACATGATTATTAATTTTTGTTATTAATAACACATTTTAGATTAGTAAAAAGAGATCCCAAGATGCCCTTTAACACTTTCCAGAGTTTAATCAACATTCAGGATAATTTCCAATTTAAGTTTGCAAAACTGTAACCATTATTCTTGCTGCCTTTTCTACATATGAATCATAAGCTGTAAAATCATAAACAGTTCTTATATGTTGCAAAACCCTGTGCTTGCTTGTGCATATCTTCCACTGCATAACAAAGTCTTAGACTTTGATAGCATTCCCTCCTCACACAGCACCACCCATCAACTCACATTACTCATGTTAGTGAAAATTAATCAGCAGAAAAGAAAACAAAAACACCAAAAAAAAAAACGAAACCCAAAACCAACAAAAACAAACGAAGAGCTGCAAAGTAGGTTATTACAGATCATGCTACAACTCTACTTTGTCAGCACTGGAGGCAGTTGCCCTGATTCGTAGCACAAGTAAAAGGTAGGGTTCTATAGTCTAATGACAGCTCTAAGAAGTTTGTATGCAAAGCTGGCTAGCTTATGTGAGATAGTCCTTCCATTTAGGAAACTTCAGGGTTCCTTTGTTGATGTAAACTTTGTGTGCATTACATGCTGGAGAGCTATTTGCAGAGGAGCTGCTTTCTTAGCAGAAGCAACAGACCTGACAGTGTTTTTCTCACGTGCCATGAATGGCACATGGTCTATGCAGGTGATGGACTTCAAGATGGCCTTCAGTATGGCATAAATGTTACCTCAAGTGGATACTGCTGTGTGTAGGTTCTCACCAGTGGTGTTTACTTGTTAGAGCAACTTTTGGTACAGCACTGGTATTGCAGCAATGGAACAAGGTCCTTTACATTGTGGAGAAAATCTTATCTGGTTAAAAGAACAAACAGAAACAAGAATGATTCATGTTATTACAATTAGCAAGGAAATTCTAGAGATGTTCATTGTGCAGCTATGCACCTGGGAAGTTCTTAGTTGGATGAAAGAGATCTCAGAGGTTTAATTGTTAAAATGCTGTAGACATATTTACTGTAGGCAATATGGAAGACGCAATGTTTTTAGCTGTGCTCTTTGTACTGCAACATAGTTTTTAATGAAAAAGGCAGTTCTTAGAAGCATGTGACTAGGAAAAGCCATCTGTTCACTTAATAAATACGTTTCTGCAGTTTGCAGAGCAGAGTTTGAAAAGTAAACCCTAAGTGTTTTTTGACTTGAGTACCTGGCATTTGCAGACTTATGTTTCTGTCAATTTCAGCACACAGAAGAAGGAGGAGAGTTATCAAAAACATTTTAGAAAGCAACTAACCAACAACTTTCAAGACAGGAGCATGAGAGAAGGGACTAGGAGAACGTTTTCTTCACCTTCTTTATCAGGGTCCACTAACATAGTGCTTCTGTGGTAGTATTCATAAGCAGCCTTTTCTGTTGTATACGGTATACCAAGTCTGGCTGACTCTTCAATTCCAAGAGATTAGACTCAGCCAAACAAGAACCCAGCAGAATTAGCTGCCATGTGTGAACTATGCCAACAAAACAGGCATCAGCTTGACAAATGCCAGTCTGATAATTGTCATGGAAAGCCAGAAGCTGAAAAGGTATCAGGTTAAAAAATTTTAAGCCTGCTTAGCAGGACTTTGATTATAGTGTCATTGTCAGTGAAACTGCTGTGGATGTAGCTGAGAGCAAATTTATGGAAACATTGCAAAAGTATGAATGACATAGTCTGCTTTGTGCCAGTTCTGAGTAAATACTGTTCACCTTACCAGCCATGACATAGCCTTGCAAAACATTGTATCGTTAGAGTAGAAAATGTGAGGATTTTATTTTCTTGGACGATAATGTCAAAAAACTAGATTTTGACATTGTCTCTTTTGGCAGTCATGATCCCTCTTGTTTCATTATGTTCTTTTTTTTTTGTTCTTTTTTTTTTTAACATGTTCCATCTCAGCTTAGCTTTTGTACAGACTGCAGTGCTTAATGAAAATCGATCATTAAAATATTACTTTTAGAAATTGAAGTTACAGAAGACCTGTACAGTTAAGAAATTAATTTCATATATTTTTGGCATCATTTGCTTTTTACTGTTCTTTATTTTGGACCTTTGCCATATGCACTCCAAAGACATGCATCTTATATTTGACATCAGAAAGGTATTCTCAGAACTGATTATATAAAACTTACATTTCAAAGTGAAGAAAGCAGAGGAGGTAGTGGAATCCAGCTACCAGATGACTGAAGAACAGTTTTGAAATATAAGATTGTTTTACAGTTGAGGAGAGGAAATCCAAAATCAAGAATCAAGCAATTACTGATATATCATAAAAGTGTGAATATATGATAATGAAAAGAATTCATAAACAGATCTTTTCTTTATAAGAGGTCATTAAGATCTAGTAAAATCCACTATATTCTTTGCACTAGAGCATTTAGCATTTCTGCATAAACAAAAGAAAAACTGTAATTGTTTTATACTTCTGAAATCCTTTGTCAACAGGCATATGGTAGAAAATGGAATATAGAAAATTGCATTACTTTAAAGGCTAATGTTGAAATCAACAGATTTGCTATCACAACAGTAAAAAGGTTTTTATTTTGAGTGAAAATTGATATTTTCTGCTGTGCAAATGTTGCTGTGTCTTCTCTGAGCAAGGGGGTGGAGAGCAAAAAGGAAAAGGGAAAAAATCCTGGACAAATTGAATCAGAATGTGACACTCGACGTATGGGGTCAGCAATCACATTGGGGTTTTTTATGACCAAGTGACCTAGGATTTAACCAGTTTCACATTCATTTAATGTTCACTTAACATGTATTAGGGTATCAGAACTTTATCAAATTTATTGCCACAGATCCCTGAGGTTAAATTTCATGTTTGTCCGCATGATTTGAGTTACTGGCTCAAAACCACCTAGTAAGCAGCAGAATGGATGTTCTTTGTTCACATTGTACCACTAACATTGCAACTGCTTTATAGTAGTGCTCACTTAAATGTCCTGCTCCTGGAATGCACCAATTGAGACTGTCATACATTGAACATATCCATTTTTCAGTATTTTTGGTGCAGTAAAGGATGCCTAGCCTAGAGCTTTATGGGACTAAACAAGATTAGGCCTACAGTGCCTAAATCTTCCATGAGTTACTGTCGTGGTTTAAACCCAGTCAGGCAACTCGTTCACTCACTTCCCCCCCTTTCTTGCCCTCCCCCTACTCCCGGAGGGACAGAGAGGAGAATCGAAAAGAATGCAACTCCCACGGGTTGAGATAAGAACAGTTTAGTAACTAAGGTATAACACAGATCACTACTGCTACCACCAGTGATAATAATGATAAATAACAAGGGAAGAGAATACAACACCTCAGCACCAGCTGACCGATAACTCGCCCCCCAAGCCCGATCAAGCTCCAACTGATACCTCCTCCAACCCTGCAGTCTCCCAGCCCTTCCGGCTAACTCCCAGTTACATCCTGGGCATGACGTGCTGTGGTATGGAATACCTCTTTGGTCAGTTTGGGTCAGGTGTCCTGTCTCTGCTTCCTCCTGGCTTCCCCTCCCCCCTGGCAGAGCATGAGGCTCACAAAGTCCTTGGCCAAACCAGAACATCATTGTTATCAGCTCTGTTCCCAGGCCGAAAGTCAAAACACAGCACTGCACCAGCTACCAAGAAGGGGAAAAATGACTGCTACTGCTGAACCCAGGGCAGTTACAGTAAAAGAAATAAGTCTTTCGCTACAAAATGTAACTGATTGTGCCCAGAATCCATGCAAATTATCAGAAAGAGTGGCTTGCAAATCACTTAGGATAAAAGCTATAGCAACACACATCACACAGTTCTGCCACAGCAAAGCTTCTTTTGCATGGCTTGTACCTGTAAGTCAATGCCCCACTGCATAGTCTTTAGGGCTTTTGCAGAACTCCTAAAGGTATGCTTGTATCTGTAGTGTGAATTTAAAAATGTGATAGATGAGAAATCAAGATTAATAAAAAGTTTATTAAATTTTCATTAATAATTTAAAAGCTTATATAAAAAAATCAAATTGAGTTGAAGTTTTACCTGCAATCTTCTGGTTGCCAACAAAAATACTGTGTATTGTAGATCAAGAAAATGTAGGACATGGTATTTAGTGTAACTGGCAAAGCAGCAAAGGATATCACTATAGCATGATAAATAAGCCTACAATATAAAGCCTGATATTGATAGGCTAAATATGGAACTCTAAAGCGCTTTTTTTTTTTTTTTTTGCAGCAAAGTCCCTTTTTATTCATATATATCTAGAAGAAAGCATAGTTGTCTTTTCTGAAAAATCTTAAAAGGTTATAATCATGGTTTAAAATAAGTAATTCTCATTTTTTCCTTTATGGTAATCAATTCCACTTCTCCAAAGAACCTCATAAACACAATGGGCCCAATGCCAAAACAAAAATGAAATGCTTGTGTGATCCCCAAGAAAGACATACTTTAACTATGAAGTATTCTCACAAGAAACCTTGTAAACCTTACATGAAAGTGAATGATCTAGAGTTTGTGGTATTCACGTTTGTTGCTTTGACAGCCCTGTTTATGAAAATAACTACAATTTTCAAAGAAAGACTACTTGACTATATTGCTCTTCTGTTGGAAAGGATCTATAAATAATAAGTTCACTCAGTTTCTGGGTTGTTTTGCCGTTGATCAAGTTTCTTCTGCAGCAGACAGTTAATCCCTTCAAAGTATCATCTATTCGTCAGTTTATTACTTTCTCTAAGCATAGATAGAATATATTTAAGCTATTTGGAATCATTAAAAAGAAAAAAGTTGGAAAAGAACTGTACTCTGCATGTCAGCCATTTAGAGACCTGAAAAAAACAGATGCTGTGTTGTATTGTTTTCCCAAGATACCTCTATTGTCCTTTGCCCTTTTCCTCATCTGCTGTTATTTATCTATTTTTCTTACACTCATTTAAGCAACAGCACATAAAAAGCAAGTCAGGTTACATTTAATAGTTGTAGTTGCACTTGTATTACGTTGATATTCTCTAGCTTCTCTTTGCTTTTGTTACTGATTTGTAAGAACAGTCTGTAATTTAGTAGCATACATTTTAAAAGAAGTGGCTGTTTAACATCAAAAGACACAGAAGCAGTAAAGAGCTCAGACTCGCACAAAGTTTCCACATACACAATGTACTATTGTTTGGACTGCATATGCATAACAATTGTTTGAAAGTATTCAGCCTGGCTTGCCGATAACTTCTCAGTTGTGTGTATGGGCCTAGACCTTTTAAAGTTGGAGTTTTTCATTTGATCTGCTTAGAAAGATAGAGGCAAAATTCCTCCTGAATGTCAGTGAGATCTGGATTTCACTCAAAGTAGGTAATCTAACAGCA